TTAGACTTCCCAGCCTCCAGAACTGTGTGAACTGAATTTCTGCTGTGTATCATTTTATTTGACCCAGGGCTTGGTGTTTTTGTTACAGTAGCCTGTACAGACCGAGACAGTGCCCAACACATGTTCGTTGAATCCAGGTTATGTGGAGACACATATCAAGTTGCCCCAAAGAAGATCATTCCAAATACTTAGAGATGAACCATCATTCCCAGATGGTGTAAAATGTTAAACAGGCTGAGGTTGCCCAAAAATAGACCGAGCACTCTGGCAGGGACGTGCGGGCGTGGTGCTGGGGCCACACGTGCTGCAGGTGGTGTGGGGCAATCCGCAGACACCCTGAGATTCTGCGATTCCCATTTCCTCCCTTCCGAGGGTCCCTCAGCCAGGACGGCCACCTGGTGAGGGAGGGGCAGGGATCACCGCCCCCACTGTCACATGGGGAACCAGGCGGGCCTCCCTATGTGTCCTTCTTCCCAGCGAGGGCATTTCTGGGACTCTCCCCGCTGGGCCCTCCTGCCTTCCCCAGGACATGCAGAAGGCCCCGGCAGGCCTTGATGCAAATAGTGCACGATTTTCCAGGCTAAAATTACATCTGGAGTCAATTTTTATAAAATGTGGTGACAGATTTAGGTGCTGGGAAGATGGAGCTTTCTCAGAAGGCATAAAATTGACCTAAACAGTTAAAACCCGCTGAAACCCGGCGGCCGGCGCCACGAGAGCAGCTTTCATCCTTCAGGGATAAGCGCATCTGCAGCCGCGTGCAAACCCACGCCTGGCCCCGCCTGGAGAAACTGCTGCGCCTGCACTTGAGCCCCCTGACCACAGCATTACTATCTCTCGGCCAAGATTCTGGCCACAGAGAGGCGATCCACTCCCGAAGGGCAACAAACTAGCAGGTGGAGTGGTGGGAACTGGCTCCTGTCTATTCTCAAGGGCAGCCTTCCCTCGCCAGGGTAGCTCCATAGAGACTGATCTGGATCTATCTATCTTTCTTTCTTTTTTTAGAGATAGGGTCTCACTATGTTGCCCAGGTTGGTCTTGAACTCCTGGTCTCAAGAGATCCTCCTGCCTTAGCCTTCTGAGTAGCTGGTATTTTTCTTTAAATTCTCCATTCCTGGTATTTTTCTCTGTGGGTCACACAGAATCGGGCAAGGAAGTAGGGCCCCCTCCTGTCCCCAGTATGTTTAAGTGCATCTTCCCCTCTCCGGAATTAGCTTGAAGCCCATGCCCCAGGGGCGGCCATGTGTTTGAGCTCTGCCACTTTCACCCCTAGAGTCTGGGCATGGGTCCTGATCAGCTCTCGTAATGGGGTCTGTCTCCTCGATCTCTAGGAACCCGCACGCTCAGACATTCTGACCCTATGACTCCAGCTGTCCTCAGCCAGACAGCCATGAACCCCCTTCTGCTGGCTCTTCCTGTATGTTGCCAGCCTCACACTCTAAAAGCCAGCCATGTTATCTGCTCGCTGTCTGTGCTGGACGGTCTCCATTTGCCCCTCTGGTTCCACTCCCAGCCTTGTCCACACTGCTCTGTGCCCAGGGAGGCTGACCCAAGTGGAGTACATCAATGGTCCCCTGGCCACAGGTCTCCTGGTGAGGTTCCGCCAATGGGAGGCATCAGCAGGAGATCAGAGGCTGGGAAGAGAGTAAAGATGCCTGGGTTGGCTGTGCCCCTTCACTAGGGCCCCTGTTTTTATCTGGAAGCCCCCTTGGGGTTCCGGAATCGCCTTACCCAGGCCTGGAGTAGTAACGGCTTCCTGCTATTACCCCCCAGGATTCAACACCCCTCACCGGTTTCCTTCAACTCCACTCACGCCTTTATTACATCCCTCAGCAACGCAGGACCCGGCTGACCTGCTCCCCCAGCCTCCCGCTCTGCCTTGGCTTGTGCCACCATTTTGCTACTGGGCCCTTGTGCTATGTCTCCAAGCTCCGCTGAGACCCAGTTTGACTCGGCTCCTCCCCGTGGACACCCTGCGGCACTGGGGTCTAGCACCCTGCTCCATAACCTGAGGCCAGTCCCGCGCCTCTCCGTAGAAGGAAGAGGGTGAGCCAGATGATGCCCAAAGCTCCTTCCGACCCATTTCTCCTCTGCCCCACCATGCAGCCCTTAGGCAGAAGGCTTGTGTTTATTCGAATTCCATTTAAAAAAATCCAAACGACCTGTCAAAACTCTTTAGCTGAATGTGGCCTTCTGGCTGTAACTCTCCCTTTCGTAAACTCCCATTTTGTTCCATCCTCACTTCCCTTCTCACCATCTCCCGTGAGGACTGTGCACACACACGCATCGCCCCTTCCAGGCTACAAACCCCCTAGTTGTGACTCACACTTTGGGGAAGCTCTGCTCCTCTGACCCGTCTCCTTTTGTTCCCCAGCCGCTGGGGCCGCCCGGCACTTCCTGAACGCTCCCCGTTGCAAATACCGACTGATGTCGGCGAGTGACCAGCAAGGCCCCAAAGCCCCGCGGAGGCTGCCTACAAGGAGTGATGCCGCGGAGCGCCGCGCTCTAGGCACCTCGCCTGCGCCGTCTGTTTCACCCACAGGCCTGTGGGGTGGGAGCGAGCCCAGACGGCGGGTGCGGACACAGGTGCAGAGAGGCCACGTAACTTGCTCTGGGCCCCACCCCAGAGAGGGCTGGAGCCAGGAGCCAACACAGGTGCACCCACACCAAGTCCGCCACCTCCCTCCGCTCCACCCTGTGGGACCCGGAACCAAATGGAGAAGAGTCTCGGTTGCAGAACGCAATCAGCGGCTCGCCGAGCGGCACCCTCTTAAGAGGCCCTTCCAGACTTCCCTTAATGAATCACTGAGACATCAGCACGTTCCTGGTTTCCGTGAAGCGCAGCCAAAAGGCCTCAAAAGTAATTAGTTCGCTTAAGTAGGCTAAACGTTCCCCTAGCAATCTGCTTTATGCGTTAATTGTTTTAGAGTCTCAGAGAGGGTGAAGAAGTAAACTTTCGCCCAGCCCCCGTGGAAATATTTTCATGTTTTATGGATGAAATTCACCCCCTTCAGCTCCTCAGTCCCACCAAGTCAGGGGCGGAGGGGGTGGAGCGGGGCGGGGGTGTCCCGGCCAGTCCGCCCACCAGGCAGGGAGGTTGGTTGGTGAAGTCTGAGTCACCTGGGAGGGCCTCCCCGCCAGCCGGCTCCCCGCATGGGTCATTTTGTGCACTGTCTCCCTTCCTTCCCCTTCCCCTGGACCCTGGGGACAGGCCTGCGTCCTCTTAGCCACTGGGGCGTCCCTCTCTTGGTGGAGGGAGACCCCACACGGGTCTCCACCTGCAGCCCGCGGCCTCCCTCCCAGGGTGGGTGGAGATGGGCATGGGGTGGGGCTGCCAAGGCCAACAGGGCCACAGCCTCCGGCAAACCCCTTCTGGTCCCCCTCCTGTACCTCTTCTCATCACCAGGCCCAGGTTCAGTCTCCAGGCAGCTCGGGCAGCTCTGAAGGCCACGGACAGCAGCTTCCGCGCTGAGGCCCAGCGGGCCACCCCACCTCCCCACCACAGAAGGGAACAACAGTCTTCCCCCCAGACCTCAGCTTTCTCCTTGCTCAGCCAGACCCTCTTCTCCAAGGGAAAGGAGAGACAGCTTTTGTTGTTCAAACAGGAGCCAGGGGCTACCAGGACCCCACAACCCAAGCCAGCTCCCCGCTTTCCTCACTGCTCCTGAAAACCCTCCCCCGGGGGCTCAGCAAGGGACGCAGGAGGCAGCCACCACGCCCTTGTCAGCCCCTGCAGGCTGAGCTCCCTTTCCTAATCCTTTTATTCCTTAACAACCATTTATGAAGCACCTACCGTGTGCTGGGCACTGTTCTAGGTGCTCAGAATGTAGCAGTAAAAAAAGCAGAAAATCCCAGCCCTCAGAGAGTGACACGTGACAACAAGATGAATAAATAAACCGGAGCACGGTAGATGGTGAACAGTGACACGGAGAAAATAAAAAGCAGGGAAGGGGAGCGAAAGGGTCGGAGCGGTTGCAATGTTAGATGGGGTGGCGGGGAGGCCTCCACAGGCTGACATGTGAGTCGAGGTCCGAGGTGGTGGAGGAGCCGCATGGACACGTGGGAAAAGAGTATTTCTCGAAGCAGGAACAGCCAGCACAAAAGCCCTGAGGCTGGAAGGGAGAGCTGGGTGGGCCAAGCAGTGGGAGGTCACATTATGTGGGGCCTCGGGGGTCATTCGAGGGGCTGTGGTTTTGCAAGATGGGAGCTACTGGGGGGCTCTGAGCAGAGGAGGGACAGAACTTGACTTGAATTTTAACAGGATCCCCTGGCTACAGGGTGGGGAACAGACTGAAGGGATCCTGGAGGCGCCATTCACCTGCAAATGGCTTCTTGGGAGTGGGCCCTTCAAGTCCACTCTTCCTCATGCTCCCTCCCACAGGGGACAAAAGGCACATGGAGTGGGGGTGGGGGCAACGGGAATGAGAGAAGGCCGGAAAGTGGGCCATGCTGGGATGTGGTGGGTCTTGGAAGCCAGGCTACGGAGTGGGGACTTAGCTCAAAGCAGAGGGAGTCGTCAGGTTTCTCAGCAGGGAAATCACCTAACTGAAGCCACGCTCGCCTCAGTCAGAAATCACAGGAAGGCAGGCCGCGGTGGACAAGACATGGTGCTAGAAGCTATGTGCATGCCCCTGGCCACCAGACGAGGAGGTCTTAACAGGCCGGGGTCCCTCTGTCTCCCCCGAGACTGGGCTCCCCGAGGATGGGGCCATGTCTCCCCTCAGACTGGGGCTCCCCAAGGACAGGGCCGTGTCTCCCCTCAGACTTCGGCTCTCTGAGGGCAGGAACCATCTCTGCCCCCTTCAGTCGTTTCCTGTAACAGCAGAGACAATACCCTACCCTTTGCGCATCTTGGTAGCCTTCAGGGGGGCTAAGATGCTGCAGTTAGAAACACTACAGGGCGATTACTCCAGAGTGAGAGACGGACAGACAGACAGACAGGCAGACAGATAATCAGGGACAGGCTGGTGTCTCTGGTGTGGGGAAGGGGCTGTACCTACCTCCCGCCACTGCTTATTCTCCATGCCTTGAGTATACATGACGCACACTGTGGGGAGAGGAGAGAAGCGGGTTAACGCCCAGGCCAGCAGAAAGGTGGAGGTCCCAGATGGCAGGGTCCTGGATGGGCAGGCGCCTCAGAGACTCCAGCCTGGGTGGCACCGTTGGGTCTGGGTGGGGGTGGAGGATGTCTCCCGAGGCGGCTGGGGTCTGGGTGAGTGGGTCTATGAATCTGGCCCCCAAGGGCTCTAGATGCACCACCTCAGAGTGGTGGGCTTGGAGAAGGGGGCCTGGAGCACAGGTGTGTCTGGAAGGGGAACGCTTTGGGAGGAGGGTCAGGGCCATTCACTTCCAGGCCAGAGCAAGGGTCTGAAGCAGGATGGAGGGTAGGGTGGCAGAGATGTGACAGGGACAGCATGGGAAACCCTCATTGTTCCTTTACAGCCCAAAGCAGTCTCACGAGGCCTATTATTATCATCAGCCCCACTTTACTGATGGGGAAACCGAGGCTCAGAGGAGGCCAAAGACCTGTCCGAGGTCATACACTTGGGTGGCACTACTCAGGGCTTAAACCCTGGACTCCAAAATCAGTGCTCATCCCACCAGACCACAGCCAATCGGAGCCCTTAAATGTACGGGTTTGCCTGGGACTGAGACCGTCTGGACCCAGACACCCAACCCCTCCCAACCCACTCTGTTGTGTTGGAGCTTCACAAGTGTGGGAGCTGGGAAGGGTCACACCCCAGTTCTCTTCCTCCAGACACTACGGGTGAACATGAAACAGGCTGACACTCTTGGAACAGAGAGCCTGGCATATAGTTAGCGCTCAGCAAGTGTTCCCTGCTGTAATTAGCCGTAATGTTGTCACTGTCATTGTTACCGTGTTCATTCTCAGGGCAGGACTTACGTGGGTCAGACTTGGAAAACATGTCTTTGTCCAGGAGGCTCCTGAAAGAGGGGGGAGAGGAGGGGTTAGCGAGAAGAGACCTCAGGGGATCTGGGTAATGGGACTGGAGACTGCCTCTGGCCTGGCCTCAGGCAAAACAGGAAGAGAAGGCGGCTCCTTCCCCAAACTTCCATTAAACTCCATTAATAGCCAGGCATTGGGTGGCCCCACCTGCCTAAGGTGTGCGGGGCTCCCTACCACCCACCCACACCACTGCCACAGCCCGGGTGGGTACCCTGGCGCCCTGGATCCCACAGCCGCTCACTCTGGGGCCAGTCCTAAAGTGCTTAATGTCTTAGCCCTTTCTAGAAACTCTCCTTTGATCACTTCTGTCTCTCTCTCAAAAAAAAAAAAATAATAATAATAAAATAAAAGCGAGCAATCAAAACTTATCCATCCAGGTCCAGAAAAAGAAGAAGAAGAAAAAAAAAACGTATCCATCCAGTCTCCCATTCTCTTAAGATTCTACTCATAGCCAGTTTATTCGATGGTCTCATCTGTGCTGACGGATTAATGAATTATACCTCCCAGGTGTGAGCAGACCCATTTGAACAGGGTCCTTCGGTGGTCGAGGCCAGATCTAACACGCCGCCCTGACACTCTGACGGGCAGGCACTGCAGCAAGATGATGGGCTCCACACTTGAGGACAGAAAGATCCCGGAGCAGGTGCTAAGCCCCTGCCCCCCTGCCCCTCCTGCCCTGCCTGCGTGCAATGAAGCTCCACTCACTGAACCCCCGTGGTGGGTCAGGCAGCACGCTAAATGTGCAATTGTTAGCTCCCAATTCGCACGCTGCCCTGCGAAGTTGGTATTGGGCAGGTATCGTCCCATCTTACAGATGTGGAAGTGGAGGCTTGGGGCGAGCAGGCAGGCTACATCCTACACATCTGGGATCCCTCATTCCACAGTGCCCTGATGCTGTCAGGAAGCAACCGAGCCCGGTGCAAACTCCGTTTCAGGCTGGGAAGTGATTCAGCCTCTCTGAGCCTCCAACTGTACGACGCCCTGAAGGCTGCGGCTGCCCCGCCCCTCTCTCCCCAGCCCCCCAGTTCCCGCACACGCCATGGTTTCCTCCTGCAGGCGCTTCTCTCCGGGGCTTTCTCTGGCAGGCTGACTGCAGGTGCCAGAGCGTTCGTGCGCCCAGGGGCAGCGCTGAACCAAAGAAGGGCAGGGGCTGGGGGATAACTACCCAGCTGCCTCACTCCCTGCAGGGGACAGCTCTGCCCTACAGTCTCCCAGAGGTCCCCGTGGGGCTGCGCCCTGGGGCCGACCCGGGAGGCCTGCTCATTAAGCCACCCTGTGCTGGCTCGGGCCCCCTGCCCTGCCCCTGGAGGGGCTGCCGAGCCCTTCCCGCCGTGTGGCAGCTCCTGACTCCCCACCTTCACTGCCCTAAGGTCTTGGCTCTCTTCCCAACCCGCTCAGCCTCGTCCCACCGCCCTCCCAGATGCCCCACGGGGTCTTGTCGCCTCCCCCTCCACTCCCGCAACCCCTCACTCAGGTCCCCGTGCCCCTTGAACCGCTTTTCCCAGAGAAGAGAAACCATCAACGCCGGCTGGTGTTGCTTCCTAACAGCCAACTCCAAAGCTCAGAGCCGGACAAGGCCCTCGGGATCCTGCTCCCCCTTCGCCTGGGTGACGGGAAACAGAGGCCCAGGGAGGGGCAGGGCGCAGCCCCGCCCTACAGCAAGCAGGGCAGAGCCAGCAAGGTCTAGAGGGAGGCCTCAGCCTGAGTCACGTCACCATGGCCCTCAGCAGTGACAGCCTGTCGGGCAACCTGACCCCACAGTGAACCCACCATGAGGTGGAAGCCAAAGACCAACCGACAGACAGACGCCACAGAGCAGCCTAGTGCCAACACATGGTGTCCTCTGACGCCTGGGAGGTCCCAGGTCGCGTTCACAGGTCACCCCAGCTCCAGTTGCTGAGCAGATTCCTGGCAATGCCCCCAAGAGGGGATTCCTAGACGCTCCCGGAGAACTTCCTCCCTCCCCCATGGCCTCCACATCCAGGGGCCTCTCCCCACAGGCAGCCACCCCAGCCAGCCCCCCAGCAGCCCCTCCACGGACCAGATCCGCTCCCAGCCAGCTGTTACTTTGGAAACCATCTGAGAAACCTCCCAGCCCACTGCAGGGAGCGTGCGACACGTGAGGCACTGGCGGCTCTGGAGGGCGGCCCGGCCGCAGGGGCCACGTGCAAGATGACGCTCGCACACCGTTGCACGCACCGCGGCGGGGGGCTTCTGCCCAGCCTGGCCTCCTCATCCCGAAGCATGCTAGGTTCCGGATGAGGGACATCTGTCGTGATTTAAACAAAGGACAAAAGGCCTTAACGTCAAAGATGACTCCACAGTGGTGGAACCCGAGGCCGGGTGAGGAGCTGGAAAGTAATGCAGCGGGGGTGGGGGCTTCCCTAGCACAGCAAGCTGACTCACAACCATTTCCTCTCCTCTCTCCTGGGCTCCCTCTGGCCCGAAGCGTGCAGCCCGCTGACCCCTGGACCCCAGCACGGCACTCAGCACGCCCCGGGCTGCGAAATCATGGGGGCATCTGTGTCTCACCCGGCCGTGTGCTCCCCCCGCCTCTGCCACAGGCCAGCCTAGCACTTGGCCGAGAGCAGTGGCCCGGCAACGTGGATGAAGAAAGCACCGAAGGAATGACCAGATGGGTGAGCAGAGCTCTCGTCTCCCCGTCTGGATGGTGCGTGGTCACACTGGGGGACAACCTTCTTCCTCTTAGCTGTGGCATGTGACGGTTAAGTGCATGGACTCTGCAGTCGGACAAGCCGGGTTCACATCTCAAGGAAGGCAAGGCACGTGACTTGCCTTCCTCGTGCCTCAGTTTCCCCATCTGTAAAGTGGGGCTAAAAACGGTCCAGGGCTGCTGTGGAGATTAGATATGAGGAGCACGTGGAACCTAGTCCAGCTCGTCGGGTGGGTCGGTCATTGTCGGCCTGGTGTTAGGAGAGCGGTCACTCTCCTGGTAGATGCTTCTGGTGACGAGGGCAGCACAAGCCACCTCCGCCTGCCCTTGCCGGTCCGGGTAAGCCCACCCCAATGCACGCTGCCAGCGCCCCCTTCTGAAGTGCCTGTTGACTCCCTGCCGCTGGCTGGAGGGGTCAGCTCACCTACGTCCCTGCCCCCGCCCCTCTCTGATCCTTGACCTTGTCCACACTCGCCCCATCCAGCCCTCACCCCAACTGCCTGTCCTGACAGAGAGCTCAGGGCCCACTCAGCCTTCTCCCTGGGCCTTGAAATGGTGGCGTCACCCCGTGAACCGCGGGCCTAACACTCCCTGGGGCCCGGCCCAGCCCCCGGATGTAAAAAGGCAGGTTCTTGGACCCCATTCCCAGAGTCTGGTTTTGTAGGTCTGAGGCAGGGCCCCAGAAGCCTTGTTTAAACAGGTGCCCACCTGTGCCCCCACGTGTCTCTGATGGCAGCTGCCCCAATACCGTACGTTGAGACGCCTCAGGGCCTCGGCTCCCTCCACTGTGAAGTCAAAGACCACAATGCACACGCGGGCGGCACCTGCAGGCCCAGGCGAAAGCACCTTCCCAGCGATCCCCCGCTGAACCTGGGAGGCTCAGGCACAGTGAGTGACCTGCCCACGGGCGCACGCCCAGAAGAAACCTGGGCGAGGAAGCTGAGCCTTCCACCCCGAGGCAGGGCGTGACGGTGCAGATGAGATCGGACCACAAGTGCTTGTCCTCCACTTTCTGTCTTTGGAGAGCTCAAAGAGAAATTTTTTCCAATAGGCAAAATGTATTTTTTCCCCGAAAGAACACACAAGCCTTCTGCTGTCTGCACAGCAGCCTGGAGCTCGGCTTCTTCCGGTCCTTGAACCAAGGCCAGGGAAACAGGGCCGAGGGCCCTTTCCCTCCTGCTTGCCCTCAGGAATCATTTGCAACACAGCGGCAGTGAGAACACGGTCATCCACTGGGCTCCGAGGTCACAAGGCTCCGAGGCCCAGCAAAGGGAGAAAGTGCTGGAAAGGAGAGATGAGAGCCCCTGGCGGGTGAAGGAGGGGCCTTCGGTGACGCCTCCCATCTGACACGCTTGAGAAAGGTGTGGGCAGGGGCTTCAGAAAGGTTCCAGTGAGAGGTGGAGACGCAGTCTGACCCTGGGGAGCCCCAGTCTGGGGGAGACATGCCCTGTCCTCAGGCTGAGCTGAGATCTGGGTGAACTGACCACCACACATTCCCGGCTGTCTCTGAACAAAGCCCATGAATGCTTTGAACTCAGCGAAGACTGGCTGCAGCACAGAAAGAGACACGTTTTCCTGGACCAGGGTCCTTAATGGGGTCATGGACTCTCTGAAACTGTGAGCAGAATATGGCATATTGGTGCACATACACGGAGACACTCTTTTGCAGAGCTTTCATCAGATTCCCAAGGAGATTCATGAGGCTAAAAGGTTAAGAAAAGATGGTTTATCTTCTTCCCAACAACCCACCCTAATCATCCCTCCAACCTAGGCAAAAGGTGGGGGTGTTGAGAGCACAACTTGGAGTTTCAGCTCTGCCCCTTACCAGCTGTGTGGCCTCAGGCAAGTGACTTAACCTCTCTGTGCTTCAGTACCCCCATTTGTAAAAAAGGGTAATAATCAGGGTTTTCTGAGATTAATAGAGTTCATACATGCAAAGCAGTGAGAATAGTGTCTGGCACATAGGAAGCTGCAGTTCAGTGCCTGGCATACAGTAAGTGCCCAATAAAGGCCTGCGGAGAATGAAGATGGCTTCTAGGAGCACCCTACATTCTCCCCGCCCTGCTCTGAAAGGCTGGCTGTGGCAGGACCCGAGGACATGCCCTCGCCCACCACCACCCATCCGGCCGGACCGCCTTCCTCGAGGGGAGAGGGGGCCGGTGAGCCAAGGTCAGGTAGAAACAGGAATCCTGACGGCCCCAGAGACCCCCGGACCTGCAGGGCCTGCCAGCATCGCCCCATTTCTCCAGGGAGCAATCGACACCACACATCTGGCAATTGGGGTGGGAGAGGGATGACACAGAT